AACATAATATTCACAAGCACTCCTTTCACATCCTTGAGGCATCCCAAACAACAAATTATGTGATCCAACAGCCTAAAAGTTGCACACATGTAAGTAACTCTAACACAAAGCTAAGCTATTTAATCATACTATCTTTCATATTACAAGCAGTCAAATTCATTACAAATTAATGATTAATTATGTGTTAAAATAAAATGGCAGAGTATCATATACAATAATTGCAGAGCCTGAAAAAACAATAGGATATTAGACAATTTCCAACCACAGTGCTCATTTGTCTCACCAAATTCTGTGTTGTTCTACCATTTTATCTTTTGAAATTAATTTAATTAAAAAGCAATTTAACACAATAAAATGTCCTACCACAGGGTTACTCACAAAGCATGCTATAGACCTCTTTGGGTGAGAATGAATTACGTCAAAGAATGATATACGGCAAGGGGCGTGACTGAGCTTGTCTGACTCTGAAATAATTTTCGTGGACGGCAACTTTCTATGGAATATGAATGGGCTAATGCAGAAAGCAAGCTGTAATAAAGAATATGCTTCATATTGCACCAAATCCCTTTTAGGAGATGCTTAGCAGTGACCATTCTTTCCTCCAGCCAGCTTTTGTAGCTTGAAAAAGCTCAATGCCAACGAAAAAAAATTAGTTTTGATTTTTCTTCATTCATCCTCCATTGAATCTTGCCGTCCAAAATGGCAGCCAATTATCCCCGTAGGTGGATACCGTAATAAACAGTAATGATATTCATAGGCCACCGTCAATCTCACCTGAGGAGGTCTATAAGTGAGCAAGCTCTATGAACTGACAACTACTAAAATAGAGTGCATGTACATTGCATTTGGAGCAACTTTTAAAATTCATAACGAATCCAAATTCGATTGGAATGAGTTCAGACTTTATATTTAACATAAGAACATTAACATACTGTATAGTGCTTTATTTTGGCGATTTTGCTGTAAAATTGTGATTAGTGGTTTTTAATTTGGCAATTTTTTGTGCACATGTGCATTACTGAGCATGCGCATTAATGATTGGCGATTTTAATAGTGGCAATTCTACCTGCAAACTGCCAATCGCCATAAAACTCCGCAAAATTAAAGCGTTATACGGTATATATATATATACACTGTACATGTATATATGTACCAAAAAATTATAAAACAGAGCAATTCTCTACTATTCACTTTTGATGAAATTTGGCCAAAATCCTTGTGCTTGGTATAGGGGCTTTGGGTCAGTTTTTGAGCAACTCAAAAATTTGCAAAAAAAATTTAAAATTGATCGGAATTAGGTCTAACTTTCTACACAGCATATAAACTTGTATACATGTACATATCAGGAAAATTTTTTAAAATGCAGAATTCTCTACTTTTAATTTTTGATGAAATTTGGCCAAAACCCCTGTACTATAGTACAGGCAATTTGGTTCAATTTTTGAATAACTTTAAAAATTAGTAAAAAATCTAAATTTGATTGTAATTAGCTCAAACTTTCTACACAACATATAAACTTGCATACGTATCAGGAAATATTTTTAAAATGCAGACTTCTTTACTTTTAATTTTTGATGAAATTTGGCCAAAAACACTGTACTATATAGTACAGGCAATTTGGTTCAATTTTTGAATAACTTTAAAAATTAGTAAAAAAATCTTGAATTTGATTGTAATCAGCTCAAACTTTCTACACAACATAAGAACATGTACATGTATATAGGGCGAGCAATTAAGGACTTGTGCTTATAAGCACTTTTTTGTAAATGCTTGAAGGTGCTTGGAAACATTAAACATATTGCAAGCACTTGTGCTTGACTTGTACTTAAGCTCTTTTTTTATGTAAATGCTTTAAAGCACTTTTAAAGCACTAATGCTTGTCTCTTTTATGAGTCATCACTAATATGGTTGTCATGCAAGTGTGTGACATCAAGCATAACATACGCATGAGACCTGCTTTCAGTTTAACCTTAGAGATGGCCACAACCATGCATGAAGAAGGCTACCAGATTCTTTACTTTAATCTATTTCGAGATTTGAGTGGTACTTTCAGAGCCTAAGTACTGCAAGCATTAAGCATTACTGCAAGTAATATTGCTTTTGGTACTACTTAAAGCATATTTTGTCACAAGTGCTTCAAGATGTGCTTCAAGCATTTTAGCAAGTGCTTGCCCCAAGACTATAATGCATCATGAAAAATAAAAAAAAGAGAATTCCCTCCTTGTAATTTTTGTCTAAAACAATACCCTGTAGGACTGGGACAAGAGGCTGCATGAGGACTATGCCAAAATCCTGTGGAAAACACTGTCCAATCGTTTTATAAAAATGGCCGATAAAATTAAGCATGCAATGTTAATGTTTGAGCACTGTTTTAATGTAATTTCAGGCTCTGCAATAAATATAAAGTCTACAACTTTACATGCATGTACACATATAAGACTCACAGTAGCTTGATCAGGGCACCTATTATTAGCATTATTGTCTACCACAGGATTGTACTGCTGTTCACTAATGGCAGGAGTCATACCACCATTAGCAGAATGATAGCCTAATACTGTAGTGACACCTTGATCTGTGAAAAAGGGAAAAAGAATAAGCTACTTGCACTTGCTTTTCATTCTTCCACTAATTAATATACATGTACAAGCTATTGTAGAGTATACCATATAGCTATACCTGCAGCTCTTCTACCAAACAATAGGTAATAGGAGCTGTTCAAATTATAATCCTGACCCACATCAGTAATATTGATAGTCCTACTGAACCTAGAGGAGACAGAGCATTATGCATTGAAAGTTCATGAGTATTATGTACCTGCAGGTTATTCTATTGTTAGTGAATGATGTAGATTGAACACACAGTCCATCCTGTGTAGCATCAAGCACATTAGGAGCTCTTCTAGAAGAAGGATTCCATGTATCAACTACTGTTACTGCACCAGAATTAACACGACAACCCAATACATCATCATTCTCCTGTAATATATTTATAAGAGATGGAGAGAGATTATATTATTAATATACCATTTGTGTGTTTAGTGAGAATCCAACAGCTATCCATCCAGCAGCATTACCCTCAAGATATACATCAAGATAAGTTGGATCTGATGGATTTGGCGACAATCCAACATAATATTCACAAGCACTCCTTTCACATCCTTGAGGCATCCCAAACAACAAATTATGTGATCCAACAGCCTAAAAGTTGCACACATGTAAGTAACTCTAACACAAAGCTAAGCTATTTAATCATACCATCTTTCATATTACAAGCAGTCAAATTCATTACAAATTAATGATTATTTATGTGTTAAAATAAAATGGCAGAGTATCATATACAATAATTGCAGAGCCTGAAAAAACAATAGGATATTAGACAATTTCCAACCACAGTGCTCATTTGTCTCACCAAATTCTGTGTTGTTCTACCATTTTATTATTTGAAATTAATTTAATTAAAAAGCAATTTAACACAATAAAATGTCCTACCACAGGGTTACTCACAAAGCATGCTATAAGTGAGCAAGCTTTATGAACTGACAACTACTAAAATAGAGTGCATGTACATGTACATTGCATTTGGAGCAACTTTTAAAATTCATAACAAATCCAAATTCGATTGGAATGAGTTCAGACTTTATATTTAACATAAGAACATTAACATAAGAACATTAGCATACTGTATAGTGCTTTATTTTGGCGATTTTGCTGTAAAATTGTGATTAGTGGTTTTTAATTTGGCAATTTTTTGTGCACATGTGCATTACTGAGCATGCGCATTAATGATTGGCGATTTTAATATTGGCAATTCTACCTGCAAACTGCCAATCGCCATAAAACTCCGCAAAATTAAAGCGTTATACGGTATATATATATATACACTGTACATGTATATATGTACCAAAAAATTATAAAACAGCAATTCTCTACTTTTCACTTTTGATGAAATTTGGCCAAAATCCTTGTACTTGGTATAGGGGCTTTGGGTCAGTTTTTGAGCAACTCAAAAATTTGTAAAAAAAATTAAAATTGATCGGAGTTAGGTCTAACTTTCTACACAGCATATAAACTTGTATACATGTACATATCAGGAAAAATTTTTTAAATGCAGAATTCTCTACTTTTGATTTTTGATGAAATTTGGCTAAAACCCCTGTACTATAGTACAGGCAATTTGGTTCAATTTTTGAATAACTTTAAAAATTAGTAAAAAATCTAAATTTGATTGTAATTAGCTCAAACTTTCTACACAACATATAAACTTGCATACGTATCAGGAAATATTTTTAAAATGCAGACTTCTTTACTTTTAATTTTTGATGAAATTTGGCCAAAAACCCTGTACTATAGTACAGGCAATTTGGTTCAATTTTTGAATAACTTTAAAAATTAGTAAAAAAATCTTGAATTTGATTGTAATCAGCTCAAACTTTCTACACAACATAAGAACATGTACATGCATATAGGGCGAGCAATTAAGGACTTGTGCTTATAAGCACTTTTTTGTAAATGCTTGAAGGTGCTTGCAAACATTAAACATATTGCAAGCACTTGTGCTTGACTTGTACTTAAGCTCTTTTTTTATGTGAATGCTTTAAAGCACTTTTTAAGCACTAATGCTTGTCTCTTTTATCAGTTTTCACTAATATGGTTGTCATGCATGTGTATGACATCTATTGTAACATACGCATGAGACCTGCTTTAATTCAGTTTAAACTTTAAAGATGGCCACAACAATGCATGAAGAAGCTACCAGATTCTTTACTTTAATCTATTTCGAGATTTGAGTGGTACTTTCAGAGCCTAAGTACTGCAAGCATTAAGCATTACTGCAAGTAATATTGCTTTTGGTACTACTTAAAGCATATTTTGTCACAAGTGCTTCAAGATGTGCTTCAAGCATTTTAGCAAGTGCTTGCCCCATGACTGTAATGCATCAGGAAAAATGAAAAAAAGAGAATTCCCTCCTTGTAATTTTTGTCTAAAACAATACCCTGTAGGACTGGGACAAGAGGCTGCATGAGGACTATGCCAAAATCCTGTGGAAAACACTGTCAACCGTTTTATAAAAATGGCCGATAAAATTAAGCATGCAATGTTAATGTTTGAGCACTGTTTTAATGTAATTTCAGGCTCTGCAATAAATTTAAAGTCTACAATTTTACATGCATGTACACATATAAGACTCACAGTAGCTTGATCAGGGCACCTATTATTAGCATTATTGTCTACAACAGGATTGTACTGCTGTTCACTAATAGCAGGAGTCATACCACCATTAGCAGAATGATAGCCTAATACTGTAGTGACACCTTGATCTGTGAATAAGGGAAAAAAGAATAAGCTACTTGCACTTGCTTTTTATTCTTCTACTAATTAATATACATGTACAAGCTATTGTAGAGTATACCGTATAGCTATACCTGCAGCTCTTCTACCAAACAATAGGTAATAGGAATCGTCCAGGTTATAATCCTGACCCACATCAGTAATATTGATAGTCCTACTGAACCTATTGGGAGAGAGTCAGTTTAACATAGTAATAATGACCAGTATAGATATTAACATACCTGCAGGTTATTCTGCCATTAGTGAATGATGTAGATTGGACACACAGTCCATCCTGTGTGGCATCAAGCATATTAGCTGTTCTTCTAGGAGAAGGATTCCATGTATCAACTACTGTTACTATACTAGAATTAACACGACAACCCAATACATCATCATCCTCCTGTAATATACATGTATTTATAAAAAGATAGAATAAGAAATAGTACATTATTAATATACCATTTGTGTGTTGTTGGAGAATCCAATAGCTATCCATCCAGCAGCATTACCCTCAAGATATACATCAAGATAAGTTGGATCTGATGGGTTTGGTGACAATCCAACATAATATTCACAATCGGCCCTCAAACAGCCTTCAGGCATACCAAAGATTAGATTATGAGACTCAATGCTCTAGCCAAAAAATACATGTTCGTACATGCTAAAGTGATTTTATTAATTTTAAAATTTTATATGAATGTGCTATAAGTATGAGGACTACATGTGCAGCTGACAGAATGACAGTTATAGACTTTGAATTGGGAGCTTAAAACTATAGGACATACATTAATTTAATTGAGGGACCTACTGTTTAGTAATAAAAGTGGAAATACAAAACATATCTTAATACTGATGCATGTGCAAGACGGATGAGTATTTATTTTAGTTGCAAATGTACAGTTTTCTTACAGTAACTTCCACTGGACATCTTCCATCAGTATTGCTATCATTAACAGGATTGTATAGGATTGGACTAATACTAGGAGTCATACCGCCACTAGCAGAATGATAGCCTAATGATGTACGAAGTCCTTGATCTAGAGAGATGAGGAACGATTACTAGAGGTCAAGTGTTAGTGTCATTATACTGTACCTGCTGCACGGCGTCCATATAATAGATAGAAAAGATTGTCAAGATCATAATCTTGACTAATATCAGTCCCATTGATTAAACGACTAAAACTATAAGTAATAAATAATAGTAGCATAATAATTGCGAAATAATACTGACATTTTAAAAGCAAAGATATGTAAAGTCTTATTGCATATTTACCTGCAGGTTATTCTACCGTTGATGAATGATGTAGATTGAACACACAGTCCATCCTGTGTAGCATCAAGCATATTAGGTGCTTGTCTAGGAGAAGGATTCCATGTATCTACTACTGTTACTGCACCAGAATTAACACGACAACCCAATACATCATCATCCTCCTGTAATATATTTATAAAAAGATAGAGAGAGACTATATTATTAATATACCATTTGTTTGTTTAGTGAGAATCCAATAGCTATCCATCCAGCAGCATTACCCTCAAGATATACATCAAGATAAGTTGGATCTGATGGATTGACTCCAAGACCGACAAAGTACTCACACTCTTGACGTGGGCAGTTCTCAGGCATACGGAATATAAGAGGATGAGTCCCAACATCCTATACCATAAAACAATGTACATTATTAAGAGTACAAGTACTCTATGACTTATTCCAAAAATGGCTCAAAAATCACACCAATTACTGTATAGCGGGAAATTTCCGAGGGGATTAAATTTGGCAAATTTCGCGTTTTGATAGCCATTCACCAAAATAAAAATCTGCCATTTTGAGCCAATATATGCATGCTCAATTGCATGTGGCCACAAATTCGCCAAATTAAAACCCGCCAATCACCAAAATTTAGCAATTCGCCAAATTTTAGCCGCTCCAAAATTTCCCACTATACGCTATTATTATTATTTTCATTGATGTAGTTATACTATGTAGAAAGTTTGGAACTTATTTTTACAAAAATTTCTGAAGTTATGAGCATTTATAAAAATAGTAGACAATTTTGAAAAAAGGCAAAGGCTATAGCTTATGGTTTTTCCTAAAAACCAGTTCCAAAATCACCCCCAATTTTTATTAGATTTTCTGATACATATTGATGTCCCTATACCAGACATGGGATCAAGCACTATGAAATGTACTTAAACACAAACACAAGCACTTAAATGTGTTAGAAGTACCAGCACAAGCACAATCCCTAGCTTCACCATAAGTGCTTAAGTACAAGAACAAGCATTCTCCAGAGTTCTTGGTAACATTAATAAGTACATGTACACTAGATATTCACTAAGTGTAAAAATAAAGTAAAATTAGAATTACGTCTAATAAACACTAACTCTGTCAATTGTTCATAACAAATGAAAACAGCAGAGAGATTAAGAGTGATACCACTATAATGGTGATGCCATTACCATTCTTCAAGCTAACACACAATCACACAATGTGCTACTAAACTTGTATACTACTGTTACTATACTACAATTTATTGGACAGTGTAACCACTACAGTACATTTACATGTAGTGGTACATGTAGATATACATGTTACAGATAAACTACAAATTTTGAGGGTTACTGGATGCCATACAAGATGGCTTATTGGCGGGATTAATATTTGGCAAATTTGCCTGTGGAAAGAAATTGTCGGATTTTATATTGGCAATTTTGTGCCACATGCCATCGAGCATGGTCAGATTAAAACGAAAATGGCAGATTTTATATTGGCAATTTCTTCACAAAACCCCCAATCGCCAATATTAATTCCTCGCCAATAAATCATCTTGTATGGTATACACAAGGATACTAGTTGATTAGAAGCTGTGGTGAAGCCTAGGCTTCTAATGTAGATGTATACATGTACATGTACATGTACATGTACACTATTCAGGTGCAATTCTTGCTGTGCGAAAGCACTTTTGTCAATTTTTAAAAGTAATAAAGTACAATTACAAGGCACATGCCTGCCCTATACTATGTAGAAAATTTGAGCCAATTCTGACAAATAATTTCCAAGTTATGAGCACTTTATAAAATCGATTAAAAAGCATGAACATAATGATAGCCATTACTACAGGAATTATACATGTATCTGGTCCTACAATGGCACAATATATACTTACCGTAAGTGTTATATTGCAGTCAACCTACAAGAGAGAAGAGAGAATAATAATAATTAATAAACCTTGGATTCTATAGAGAATAATACCTTAAGCCTACTATTTTTAGCGTCTACTAAATTTAGCTATATTAGCGAGAGAGCTTTAAATTGCTAAATTAAATAGACGCCAAAATAATTATTATTCATTATAATGGTTATTATTTATAGTTAATTTGGTTAAAAACGCTAAAATTAGTAACGCTAAACATGACTTTTGCTGATTTCGCTAAAATTAGTAGACGCAAATAATAGTAGGCTTAAGGTAGTTAATAAATCTTGGATTCTATAGCTTACAGGGAAATCAGCAGCATTGAGATTCACATAATATGAAGAAAACATGATCACAACAGAATACCTATGGATAATAAAATAATGATAACAACATTACAAATTATAGTAATAATCTTAATAGATTTAAATTAGTGGCTTCACTCTAGCCACAGAAATTGCTAATGGATTCTCTTTTGCACTTATATAAGCATAAATGTGTATTCATGTATCACATGTACACGTACATGTACATGTGTAAGTGTAAACATGTATTACATGCATGTATATGTGCTCTAGCCACAAAAATTGCTAATAGATTCTCTTTTGCACTTATATAAGTACATGTAAGTGTAAACATGTATTACATGCATGTATATGTACATGTATGTGTAGACTAACATCCTAACATCTACTTATTAAAGCATCCAAACCATTATACCGTATAGCGTAAAATTTTCAAGGGCTATAAATTTCACAGATTTCGTGATTTTCTGAAGATTCGCAAAAATTACTGTGGCGAAAATCAAATTAATACCGGACAAGATAGTAAATGGCATAAATTTGTAAAAATTAAATCTCCAAAATAGATTTTTAGGCAAATTCATGAAATTTACAGCCCTTGAAAATTTTGCACTGCATGATTGTTAAGAAACAAATATGGCATGAGACAATTATTCATTAATTACATGCTTCAGTTATTTCTAATAATATTTTGTTGCTGTTGGTGCTTTAATTAGTGTTTACATTCAGCACTTCAGGGCGACTGATCAAGTTTCCTGTAGACACATTTAATCAAATTAAATTTAATGAATAATGCTACATATCCTGCAGTACAATAATGTAGCATTAACAGCATACAGTATATGAAGAAATGCATTAAATAAACTCAAGTATAACTGTATTTCTTATTTCACTTGCCTTGCATGCACACACCAGTAGAGCTGATAGCTTTAAATTTAATACAAGCCATTCAAAGCTTTGTATACAGTGCAAATTAGCAGCAACTATTCAACACAATACTCATGATAAACAACCCAAAGTTACTAGTAGCTTTTAAGTCAAAAGCTACCCCCAATGTAAAGCAAAAAAATATTTAGCAGCATTTGGCTTCAATGTGCAGTCTTCACTAGCTAATATGTGAAAAGGCCAACTTCTGTTCAACAAAGCGTAATAATAAATAATATTACTCTAAGCATTTTATCTATTAATAGTACATGATCCAAATGTGCTTCCTACTACTGCATAAAATAGCCAACTTGGCTACTTTAATATTAATGAGTTTGGATTCAAACTATACCACATCCTAAGCAAAGCTGATGATACCATGAATGGCTTCTGTCATGACTCAATTCTTATCTTTACTATAACTGATACTCTATCGTGGTCAGTAGAGCCATATAGCAACAAAATGAAAATTGACCAAACCATGACTGTAAACCTTTCTATGTAAACAGAAGAAATTCTTGAGGGCATACACTGCATAGCATTCCAATTTATACTTTTAGTTTAGCAATAAAAAGAACAGCCATAAGCATTGAAGCGGTGCATTATTAAAGAAAAAGTAAAATATAGAAGCTTTGATTTTGAAAGGATGTATACCGGTTGTAAAGATACCACTATGATTCCATATATAGCATGCATTGTATTATGATGATGCTCTACATGGATATTTGAGACATGCACAATAGCCTGACCATAGCAGCCCTGACAATTGTAGCCCTGACAGATAAAACTGTGTTTATACTTCCTAATAAGCATCAATCCACACTCCATATATTGAGCTGAGTGGGTGAATGCACACACACTATGGTGAAGCCAACCAGATAATAAACCACAACATCATGAGAACTGAGCAATACAGTATAATACTGGCAGACAAGAGACAATCAAGAGAAGGTGTAATTTTATTTGATAAATCTAATTACAGTGATGATAAGTATAGACTGCACCATACAATCTAGCATGCAGTAGTCTTAGGTGCTACTGTAGTACAAATTAACCTTAGTTCCACAATGCCACCAAACCCTGAGGGAGCCGTCCATTGAAATGAGACGCTTGACTTGTCGTAATTATTAACATGAGTTACCTAAGGAAAAGATAAAAGAGAGATTCAAGGAGAAAAAAGAAAAAACATCATACTACATACGGCATGCAGTCAAAATAACATGTATACATAACAAATAATATCAAATTACATTCAATAGTATTTATCACATTAGTATGTTAACTTACAGTAGCATTATTAGAGTCTGGACAGTTAGCTAGTCTTGCCTGACCATTAGAGCCACTGGTATCCATCATACCAATCACCGATCCATTCACATCTCTGGCTTGGACTATGAAACCTCTGAATGTTGCTCCTAGCACACTGATCAAACTGACTGTAGGATAACAAAGAAAGAGAAAAGGAACAAATTAACGGCAATTAAGACTATATAGCGTGCAAGAATTAATGGTTGCATAAATTAGCTATGCAAAAATAAAGGTGTCAAAAATTGATAGACAATCATATCATATTTTTACTATTATATGTCTCATCAGGTTCATATACTAGGAATCCATTTTCCATCAGGAGATCAGAGACAATGAAGTAAGGAGGAGGACGGAGGGCTGGATCAATGGGAATAGCGCCATGACCTGGTACTAGAGACACACATGCTTGAGGTGGAGCACCAGTAGGTAGAGCTGTAGCTAATCCAAGAAATACTAGGAGGAGAGAGAAACTCCTGCAATAGGAGACAGCCACCATGATCACAGACACTGCTGGAGTCGGTAGATGTCAGGAATGAAGATACAAATTCATCAAGTATATGTACCATACCTGCATACCAATTGAGGAAATTATATTTTTAGCTCCACCTTACTTCTTGGAAAGCACGTGGCAAAGCATGTAAATAAAAGGCGGAGCTTAAAGCCTACCCACGTCTTGTAAATGGCTGCTCCGAGGTCAGTTCAGGAGTCAATTCTCACAGCCACAAATTGTAACGCTCGTCGTCAGTAATATCATATCCCTCTTCATACCTTCTTATGAAACGTGTACCTTCATCACTGTAAAAAAAGAAAAGGGTATGAATAGATGAATCATGAA